TAACGATCCAACCGCTGCTCGAAACAAGACAAACTCTTTAATGAGGTGCTTTTAAATCTCTTTCAGAACCTCTTTGGAAAGATGGCTGATGTTTTAGAGAAGATAAAGAAGTGAGTGGTTTTGTTTCAGCCTGACAATCAAGCGTGCAAGAAATGCACATAACTTGTATACTGATGTGTATTCGGTCCTCCTCCTGCTGTCTGTGTTTCAGTCTGTTCATGTGGGTGCAGCCAGAGAGCACCCAGAAACTTTACGTCTGCCTGTGGGTGACTTTCATCACCTCCTGCGTCCTGCCGTACAAACTGCTGGGCTTCATGATTGGTGAGTGATGTTCACAAAGCATCTTTTTCATTGTGACAGAACGTGAACTCAGTCACAAACAGATGCAGAACCTGTGGAGCCGTCCTCCCTCAGCCTGTGTGGGGAAGCTGCAGGCTATTGGCATCTTATACATAATTACTACTTTTATTTTGCAAAGCGTCTCCCAAACCACTATGCACTCAGACTTTCTTGAAAGGTGCTCGGAGCAAACTGTTGGCATAGAAACTGCTGTCATTTAGCCAAATTTCCATCTAGCACTTTATTTCTTCATTTAAAAGGAGCGAATAACCAAAATCAATGTATGCTTAAAAGCTGCACTGGACATTTAAACAAAGTAAATATACTGACATTGATTATTTCAGATCCCATCTAAGATTTCTTCAGTGACTTATTTCAATTGGAGAAACAAAACAGACCACACGTTCAGCGTGACTGAAAGCTAACCACATTTGGAGACAAAATTAGAGGCAAGGCTGAGATGGTTTGGACATGTGCAGAGAAGGGAGAAAGAATATATTGGACAAAGGATGCTGAGGATGGAGCTGCCAGGCAGGGAGATGAGAGGATGACCTCAGAGGAGGTTCATGGGTGAAGGAGGACATGCAGAGGAGGACGGGGTGAGATGGAGGCAGATGATCTAATGGGAGCAGCTGAAAGAAGAAGACAGCTAGCTGAGCACATTGTTACATTGTGAACATGGAACGGAAAAATGTGACAGAGTGCAGAGGAAACCAGTCACAAAGTGACATCGGCAGGCTGTATTGCACCCATCATGGGGAAGATCCCCACATAGTCTGTACGTGCAGAGCCACTGCTTTCTGTAGTATGTGTGACTCTGGTTGTGGGTAATTGATACCAACAGGGAAAACGATAAGGAACCTGGGAACACACGGCAGCTGCATGACAGGCTCCAAATACAAAACAATTATAATAAAAACGTTCCCCCAAAGAGAGTCCAGTTTGTAAGCGGGTGTCGGCTGGTGGGTCAGTCATCGGAGCCCAGTTCATGTAGTGGAGAAGAAATCTGTGGTCATGTGTGCATCTGTCCCACGTCAGTCTCATCAGGAGCTCTTAGGCTGGTTTTCCATCGAGTTTAACTGGAAATTGGAACCTCCACTCATCATTGGAAGCTTTTCATTATTCTGCACTTTATTCTGTAAATCTGCTGTTTTACCATGAGGAGAAAATCTGACTGCTGAGCTGCAGAGGCTCTGGATAACCAACAATATACCAGAGTCACTTTGAGCTCCAACATATAACTGGCCCAGTGTCTGTATGTGCAAGAATGGGCACAATGCTGAAACTAGTGATGTCATCAAGGTCAGCTGCAAGGACTACTTTGGGCAGGGGGGCGTCACCTATTTGGGGCATCCCTTTGTCTGTCAGTGAGGCACATCTGAGGGTTATTTTCACTACACGGTGTTGCTTTGCATCATTTAACCTCTTTTATTTTATATATTTTTTAAGAATTAATGTGTCTGTGATTACTCTCTTTGCAGGCGTGTACGCCGGCATCAAGTTCTTTATCATAGACTTCCTGTTTAAGAGCTGCCCGAAACTCCGCGACAAGTATGACACGCCTTACATCGTGTGGAACAGCCTTCCCACCGACCCCCAGCTCAAAGAGAGGACAAACGCCACGGTGTCGAGACGGGTAAGGCAAACA